GTGGGAGGACACAGAGATAACAACATGAAGACACCTGCTCGTTAGGAGCTCACAGGCTAACAGGGAAAATAAAACATGAACATCAAGTATTGTGTGTACAGGGCAGAAAACAAGGACTAGCCTGTAATAGGACCCCAGGGCCTCAGAAAATGGAGCTGTTCCTGCAGCTGAAGGATTTATACACTCACCCACCACATGTTTCCAGACGACCTACCAGGTGCCAGACATGTTCTAAGACTGGAGAAACCCCCATGAACAAACCAGACATGGTCTCTGCTCTCATGGAGCTTACAATCTAGCAAAAAAGACAAAGTAGGATCAGGGTATTACAATTCAGCATATAGGTGTGCTGACTCGGGGCAGGGGGCGGGGACGGGTACAGAGATTTGGCATCATACACACATTTCACTTAGGCAAACACAATGGTATATTTTTCTGAAAAGTTAAAAAAAAAAGACAAGGAAAAAGGAAAACAATGTTAAGTCATTTGCGCCATTTCACCGGCGCCTCCACTCACTGAACAGACCGGCTGGAGGGCCTAAGGCAAGCTTGTGCGCCTGCCGCTCCTTGTGGCCTGTTACAGTTCCCAAGAGCCCTTTCAAAAGTGAGCTGCTTGCCTAAGTGTAAGTCCAACACCTAAAAATATGTGGGTATTTTTGCACAATATGGCCCTAATTGCAGGCCAACCATTTTATCTGGAGCTCAACCAAAGAAACTCTGATGTATTCCCACACAGGAAGGAACCAACTGTGCTGGATCTTTCGACGCTGGTTTTCAACATGGCACCTTACTCAGGGTTTCCAAGAGGAATTTTGGTTACACTCCATTTTTATCTTAGGTGTGACTGTATAACCCAACCGTGGAAGGAGCCGAGTCTCGTCCAAGGCAGTACTGTGGGATACATAGCAGGGGCCCATGATCTGGCTCTGGAAGTTGGGAGGTAGCCTCCTGGAGGGGTCTCTAAGTCCTTGAAGATGAGCAAAAGAGAAGGCAAGGCTCAGATGGGAGAGAGAAAGGTCCGGGGGAGCACGTCACTGCTAGAGAAGAACAGCACCGAGCAGAGTTTGAAAGGCTGGTGAGATCAAGGTGGGTCCAGGGAACTTGTGGGCACAAGGGCAGGGGAGGATGAGAACACGAGCCTTGTGAGCTACCACAGTAGTTTGGAATTTATTCCAAGTGCAACAGTGAAGTTTGGAAAGGTTTTAAGCAGAGGAATAACAGGAATAACTTTAAGAAAGTTCATTCCGAAGTGCATGAAAAGATGCCCAACATCATTAGTCATCAGGGAAATGCAAATCAAAACCACAATGAGACACCAATTCACACTGCAAAATAACAAGTGTTGATGAAGATGCGGAAAAACTGGAACCTTTATACACTAATGGGAAAAATGGAAAATGATGGAGCCACTTGGGAAAACAGTCTGGCAATTCTTCAAAAGGTGAAGACGGAGTTACCATATGACCCAGCAATTCTACTCCTAGGTATATAACCCAAGAGTAATGAAAACATCACCACGTAAAACTTGAACATAAATGTTCCATAGCAGCATTCGTCATATCAGCCAAAAATGGAAATAACTCAAATGACCATCGACTGGTGAACGGATAAATAAAATGTACTGTTCATACAATGGAATATCATTCGTTAATAAAAAGAAGTACTGACACATGCTACAATACACCATGATCCTCAAAAATATGTTTAGTGAAAGAAGCCAATCACAAATCACCTTACAAAGTGTATGATTCCATTTATATGAATGTTCAGAATAGGCAAATCCATAGAGACAACAAGTAGTGGTTGCCAGGGTGGGAAAGGGGACTGGAGAGTGACTGCTAATGGGTACTGGGTTTCTTTAGGGTGATGAAAATGTTCTAAAATTGACTATGGTGATGGTTGCACAATTCTGTGAATAGACTAAAAGCCACTGAAGTGTATACTGTTTTTTTAAAGGTATTTTTAAGTAACCTCTACATCCGACGTGGGGCTCGAACTCACAACCCTAAGATCAAAGTCACATGCTCTACCAACTAAGCTGGCTAGGCGCCCCTGAAGTGTATACTATAGAAGAGGGAACTGTATGCTATGTAATTAATATCTCAGTAAAGCTGCAAAAAACAACGAAAGTTTATCCCAGCTGCAGTGCACATAACAGAGGAAGGGACGGGGTACGGGGCAGAGACCGGGGAGGAGGCTGCCACAGGGATAGAGCAGGAGAAGATAGTGACTGAACTAAGGGGAAGATTTCATGGGACCAGACTAGAGGCCAGAGGAGCGCTTGTCACGGGCTCCCCAAGTTCTCCTGGGTAGCTGGTGTGTCTCCCAAGAGGGAGAGTGGGGACACAGAAATGAGGTATCCGCAATTACTATCAAGCAGCAAAACGTATTTGAAATCTCATGTGTAAAGACTAAGAAGAATACAGAAACGTGTGTAGCTCTCCTGCCCACATGCATGAGGAGCACCCAGGCACGCTGAGCTGCCACTAGGGGACCATCCTGACTATCCACCCCCACTCCCAAACTCCAAAGAGAGGGCCTGGGCATTCAAAGCCCCTGTAAGATGTTTCAAGATCTGAGTGCCTGAGTGTAGGCTGGAGAGTGAGACAGGAGGTGACCAACCATAACTTGGGGAAATAAAATCTTTAAGATACTTTTCTGGTTCTGTGTATTTGTAAGGACTGCAAGGCTGTTCAAGCAGGCATTTTTCGTGGTTAGGTCAAAAGTCCAGTTTTGACTATACACCACCACCACCCTCCCAGAAAGCCTTCCCTGATCTCTAAAAGGAGACTGGCAAGGGCTTAAGGTCATGGGACAGATGGGCCTGAACTACTGGTGGAAAAGGTCATGACTGGGAAACACAGAAGCATAAAGAAGGGCATTTCTTGAACACTGCTGAGACCACATCAGTTAGGACCCTGACCACAAGGACATCTTTGTCATGCTTGAAGACCCACAGACTGTAATGGAAAAGGGATGGGGGTGAATCCTTGTCCACAACCTCATGGTGTCACAACCCTCAACTGTCTCTTTGACCCACCCCACGCCTGTAACAGAAACCAGGGCTGGCCAGCCCACCACAACCATTGCTTCAGGAAGAGTAAAAACACCACAGAGATGCACCAATGAAGTCAGAAGCTGTGGTACCAGCCCATTCAGTTGCCAGATGGGAAAACTGAGGCCCAGGCCCGTGGACAGAACCAGGAGTTGGCACCCGGGTCTCTGACTCTCAGGTCCTTGTCCTTCTCACTCTACCAACTCCCTAAACCTTGCCCCTTCTCAAGAACCTGGCTCTCAGCTGTGTGCTTCACAGGACCAAAACAGCTGAGAAACTTCAGAAACATTAGGTCTCAACTGGCAGAGAACCAGCTCTTTCCCAGAATCCTATCAGGAAGCAGAAACATACAATAGTTACAGGCTCCGATCTTTCTAAAGGGAGTGAAAAAAGCAGTTTAACCAACAAAACATGGTACAGTACAACTGCTGCAGCTCTTAAGTCCCACAGCCCTTTATTTTCTTTATTAGCAGCAGCATTCTGCATTCAATCACACCATACTGTAATCAACTATCAATGCGACCATTAGCTCAGCCACAAGTAAAGATCTCTAGAATCCAGGGCTACACTAGGTACTGAAACAAGCCAGACAGGTGAAGAGCTGTGACACCACAAAGGGACAAAGGTTTACAATCTCTAACTCCTAAATTCTAGTGAATTGAAGAGAAACACTATTTTTAAGCCTGCAAAGGAATATAAACATTAAATACTTCAAGATAGAGATCAAACAGGAAGACAAAATAATCTACTACCTTTAAAATAATCTGAAAGGAGTTTAGAAAAAAACAAGAAATAAACAAGCTAAAATTTCCATAACTATGATCTTATTAGCCAGTTTTAAAGATAACTTCAGGCGCCAGAACTTGGAAATAGAATAAATACCAACGTATCACTTCTGAAGTGATAATAAACAACAGGACCCCATCTCTGATGGATGGATTTTTTTTTTCCTACAGTGGCCAAAAAGCAAGTTGAATTCTATATACAACAGACAGACTATACAATTAGGATCATTTAAAAATAATGAGACTCCTCTCTTTGCCTTCTTCCAAAGTATATAATATATATTTAACAGCACACATAAGACACCACTTGAGCTCCCTTGTAGCCAACAGGAAGTATTTTCACATATAAAAATTAAAAATTTTAACTTTTAAATCATTAATATTTTTAAACATAATACAGACTTAAAAATTGTTCAACATTAACCCATGACCCCACCCCTAGCACAAAAGTCCACCCCAAATCCAGAAGTCACAGTTTTTTGTTCCTAAAAATCCCACAGCACTGAACTTGATCTTCACTTCAAGCTGACTGCTACGAAGAGGCCCCTAACAGAAATCCCCAGGAAGGAATGGAAGCACGATCGACGCTGCATCTCTTATCTACCTGGGCGGCACTGGTGCACCTCTGTAGTCAGGTCCATGAGATTCGGCCCCGACACTAGGGTCCTGGAAGGGTGAGCTGGCAGCTTCCCTCATCTTCCCCCTCGAAGGCTGTCCAATAAGCACCTGGGAATTGACTTTTCTTGGGAAAAGGGTGCTGGTAACAGCTGTCAGGGCCAAGGCAATAGTGAGAAGTTCAGTTCTCTGCTCTTTGGATGAACTGTGTAAAACATTTCTTTAAAAGACACAATGTTAAAAATATTAAGAAAAACGTCTACAAAATCTGGAGGGCTGCCTTTTCCTCAAAGGGTAAAGCTTGTGGGATAGTGGGAAAAAAGTTGAGGGCCCAGAACTCTAACTCTGCAGCAAAAGATAGATGCCCTTCAAAACACGTCACATTCTTAATATGTCTTGCTGAAGTAGCAAGAGCTGAGGGTGACTGTGTAAGAGCAGGAGAGGCGCCAACTCCTGCAGGGGGAGGGAGGGAAGGTTCCTACTGTGCACCCCACCCTGCACGAGAATGTCAGACTTTAGGGCAGCTGCCATTGGCCCCAAGGGCATCAGGACTCTGCCTCTGAACCAGAGCTGCTTTCCCGACTAACTTCAATCTGGAGAGATGGTAAGTTATCTAACCGGCTCTTCTTTTGGCGAGACTGTTCTTTCTCCTTTATCAGAGCCCCCCATGCCCTTTGCAGCTCAGAGTCGTCTTCCTCAGTGCCCGGTGTTCTGTGATCCACCTTCTTCGTGTTCTTTTCTTTGGTCTTGGGTGCAGATCCTAAGCGAGTCCATAAACTACCTGTTTGGGTGAGAAGGCATTTCAGTTTTGGTGGTCAATGCTGAGAAGCAGGGGCACTGCCAACAACCTAATGTGCAAGAAACACTGGGGAGGGGGTCTGTGGCTCTTGGAACCTTTGTGCAGTGTTGGGAAGGTTATCTCCTTTCCCTGGCTATAGTCCCCTGCCTGCAAAGTGAGGGATCTGGACCCAATGGGAGACTCTCACAGCTAGGGACATGTGCCTCCCATATGCATATCAGAATCACCTGCAAGGCTACTTATGCTACATCTCCCCTCCCTGGTGAGACTCACCATTCAGTGTAGAGCTTCATTCTGCCGGGAGCGGGCCATTCCCAGATCATTCCCAGCTATAAATTCTGCAAAGTGAGGGACCTGCTACACTGTAAACTTTCAGAGATTTGGCCCAATATCTATTCATTTTTAAAATATACTTTATTAATATCTCACAATAGAGAAATATGTGTTTAGAATTTCATAGCATAATATAAGGCAATTAAACATTTTATTTATAAAGAATTTTAACAACATGTGGGGCACCGGGGTGGCTCAGTCAGTTAAGCCTCTGACTTCGGCTCAGGTCATGATCTCACGGTTCATGAGTTCCAGCCCCGCATCAGGTTCTCTGCTGTCAGCACAGCTGTCCCCCTCTCTTTGTCCCTCCCCTGCTCGCGCTCTCTCTCAAAAATGAACATTTAAAATATTTAAAAAAAAAAAAAAAAAGAATTTAACAGTGTGGAAAAATGATCACAATAAAATGAAGAAAGCAGGTTACGTCTATGGACAAAGACTTTAATGGAGACTTAAGACTAAAAAGTATTTGTGCTAAACAGAAAGAACCAAGGCTGGTTTTGTTTTTTTCTATTTTCTAAGTTTCCTATACTGTTATTATTACAATTATGACAATGACTATAACGGAAGAGGAAAAATAATTTAATTTTGACATATGCTATTTCCTGCCTTCAACTAACAAAGTATTTCTATGCTATAGTCTGCTCTCCTTCAGTCCTATCTCCTTCAGTTTTAAGTGTTACCAACCTGATTTCTTCTCCCGAGTATCAGAGTAGAGGCCTTTAACATCTTGCCTGGGAACACCCAGTCTACTATGTACATCAGAAAAAGGCTCTCTCCGAAAGACTGGGTTACTACTAAAAGCCTTTTCTGGAGAATATGGTCTTTTTCCTAACCGCTGGCGTATATCTAGAAGAAGAAAAAAAAGTATTACTGTGACCAAGCTTGTGTGCTTTGCTATTCATACTGTCAACCTGAGATCTCTACAGGACCTAGTGCCAAATCTCCCCAAAGGAGGACAAAGAGCCTGACAAAATCAAGCTTCTAAAATTCTTCTGTGTAATCAGTCTGGATTCCCCTAGGAAAGTGCAGACATAGGGGCTTTCAATGGAAAAAAAGCCTCTCAGCTGACTGCTCCAGAAAGGAATTTCTGAGGCAGAATCACCTGTTTGGATTTTTTGTTTTTTTTGTTTTTGTTTTTTTGTTTTTAGTAGAACCAAGTATACCAAAGAATTTCCAAACATCTCAGCTAACAATACTATAAGTTCCCTGAGGGCAGAAGCCACAGTCTTTGAACATATAAGGAATTTTTGATAAACTTATTACATTTAACAATAAATGTAACAAGATGGCTAAAACCCAAAGGATCAAGGGAAGATATTCCAAATCAAATTTGCTTTTCCTCCCTCCCATCCCTCCGAAGTCTGTCCTCTTGAGTTCCCTCTAACAATACACAGCAGCAGCAGCAGCAGCAACAACAGGTTTATTAGCAAGTCATTGGGGTTTTTACCCATCCTGCTAATTGTCTCACAGAGCAGCATTCCCAACTTTCTCGTTCCTCAGGGCTGAGCCCTTTGGCTCCTTTCCCTTTGCTCCCTTCTTCCCAATGCTGAGTCTTCTATCTTCACAAAGTTTGATGTTCTCATCCATTCTGTCTCCACTTTCCCTGATCTAGTTCAGGTCCTTGTTACTTATTTAAATCTCTACCCTACCCCACCTGGCCACAAAATTATCTTTCTAAAATAGACATAAGATTAGGTTACTTCCCACATCAAAAAACTAGGTTTGCCAACTGAGAGCCCACACCACCCCTACCAAGGCCTTGCACTAAAGCCACTTTCTCTGAGAAGCCTTCCACAATTCCTTGAGTAGACCTCCCTCCCTCCGTGTGCCCACTGCCCACTGCTTACAGACCTATGAGAACACTTACACTCTGCTGTGGGGTGGGATTACCTGAATGTGCACACTCACGTTACTACATCTGAGTCCTAGGATGACTCGGCAGACCCTCCAAAGATTCTAACACTCCCAGCACCTACCCCTGGCACACAGCAGGCATGCCCAAGTACCCACTCTATGTGTATTTGCACATACATACTATCTAGTTCAAATTCTTAACCATTTACACAACAACCCAACCTAATTTCTATTATCGTTATGTATGAAGTATATCAATGACATTCAGAGCAAAATAATTGGGACAAAAATATTGAAAGCCAGTATTGCAAAAGTATGATTATGTTCCATGTCTTAAGGTTCCAATGCCTAACCAAAAATTTAGAAGTGATGAAGCAGGGTAACTAAATCAGTTCACTAATGGCAATGTTTTAACCAAAGACTTATCTCTGCCTGAATTCACTTTCTGGAGCTCAGAATGAAGCTGAGAAATGCAAATGAATACTACCTGATTTAGTATTGCTGCCTGGTGGCCGTGGACGTGTGTGCTGACGTTTTTCATCTAACAGATGTCGGACATCTACAAATTTCTCAGTCGGTAACTTGTTACCGATTCGGTTTTTGATATTGCTTGTGGATACAGTATCTGCCCTCATGGAGTTCCTTTAAAAAAAAAAAAAGGCACAATTAACCAACTTCAACTGTGGGACAACGCCTATGCAACAATCTCATATACTTTGGAGAAAACTTAAGATACCCAATTTAATATACCAAATATTCACTCACAAATACCATACACCAATAATTATTTGCTTATAAAAATCATGATCAGCTTGCTACAGAGAGACTAGTCAGGGCAAATAGGTTCCTGAGTTTTCCAGGGTGGTTTCCACAAATGATACCTGTAAACTATCACAGAATGTATAATTACAAGTTCCCTCCCTTCTGAGACAAACATTAAGTAAGGCCTGCAAAGCGCTCAGGGATCTCTGTTCATGCAGGCTGTGATTTCACAGTAGTCAAGATACAAGAGGATCTATAATCTCTTTCGTTAAAGAGCAGACTTCTCTGTCAAAGACATCTGCTACCATGCACCAGCATTATTCTGACAGCATTCAACACTGGAAAGTTCTCTAAAAACTAAAAATAAGGATATGAACAAAGTCATACAAACAAACCAGATTGAACTGTTTTTCCTTTCCCCAAACATACCACCAAGTACACTTAGGGAGAGCAACTCTAGACCCCAACCAACCCTTTGAGCTGTACATCTGCCCTCAGGAATCTGCTCATCCCCACTAGTCATCAAAGAAATACACATTAAAATAACTTTTTTTTTTTTTTTTTTTTGGCCCACAAAGTTAGCAAAAAGTAGACAGTGATAAGTTTGTAAGTATATAAGTAATAGGTTATAAAGTGAGTAAAACCCTTCTGGAAAGATATTTAGCAACACCACATTTTTAAACACACATATTGTTTTGTACAATAACTGGAATTCAAGAAATTTAATTAGTGCAACAGTAAGAAAATAGAAACCTAAATGTCCATCAATAAGGGACCGGTTAAATAAATCATGCTACTTTCAAACAATGGACTACATCTGGGTGAAAAATAACAGAGGTCTATATATATGAAATGGAAAAAGCACACTGTAAAACAATATAAATCCAACTTCATTTTTGAAGAAATATATTTCTCCGTGTGTTATGTATACACATAAAATTAGCAGGAAAATTATTCATTCAATTGCTAAGTCGCTATTTTAGGAGAGATTGAAACCATGGGTGATTTTCACTTAATATACTAACATTTTTATAACAAGGAATCAATTGTGTATTTAAAGAAACAAATGGATGCTTTTATTCAAATTCTTCATAAGACTGAAATTAGAACAGATAAAAGTGATTATAAAATTAAGAGGAGCTAAGAGGAAGTTAGGAATTAGTATTTAAAATCAAATTAAAAGCAAGTGGCTCAGTCAGCTGAGTGTCTGACTTCAGCTCAGGTCATGATCTCGCGGTTTGTGAGTTCGAGCCCCACATCGGTCTCTGTGCTATCAGTGCAGAGCCTGTCTCAGATCCTCTGTCTCCCTCTCTCTCTGCCCCTCCTTCTCTCTCTCAAAAATAAATAAACATAAAAAAAATTTTTTAATTAAAAAAATCAAATTAAAAGCTCGCATTGATAAAAAGAAAAGGCTTTTACCTAATGTTTTTCAACTGAGATTCCACTTCATCAGCGTACATGGTCATTTTCATGCTTTTCTTTGGTGAAGGAGTGGAAATCATTTTCAGTTCTAGATCATAGTCCATTTCATCGGAGTCTGAACTGCTGGCACTGGACTGCCTAGATGTGCTCCGCTCCCGGGTCTGCTTGAGAGCTGGGAGCTCCTCGTGGTACTCTACCACCACTCTGTCATCTGCATCCATGTCCTGGTCTTCCTCCTCCTCCTCCTCCTCCTCTTCCTCCTCTTCAATGGGTTCCTCCGGAACATTTACTAGTCCTAAGAAATTTAACCAAGAAAACATTAGGAAAAGTATTAAAACTAACGAATCTGATTTTCTGCTCTACACTGGTGGCCTTTTTTAAAAAGGTGGGGTTCCCATGCCTGAGATCTTACTGGAGCATTATCTACATTAGTGCCAACCCAGTTGCCATTCCGATATCTACAACAGAAGAATGGCTAGGTAAAGTATGATCTAGCAAGCTGACGGATATTATAAAATTACCTACAATCCAGTCGACTGTCGTTATTCATGAGTATTTGCAAATCTGCCAAATTTATTTGTAACTCCAAAATCCACACTCACAGTGCTTTCATGATCATTTGTGGACATATGCGGAATGGCAAAAAAACCAGACAGGCATATTCCCAGCTGAGGTCAAACAAGGCAACACTCTGCCTTCATGTTTCAGCTCTCATATTATACACAAGTATCCTTTTTGCAGACTATTAAGTGTCATGTTTTTCATATTTTTGAGGCTTTTGTTGGTGATTTCACTGTTGAAAAGGGCTTCCAAGTGTAGTTCCAAAGCTGTCTAGTGTTTCTAAGCTCAAGAAAGCTGTGATATGCCTTATAGAGAAAATACGTGTTAAATAAGCTTTGTTCAAGCATGAGTTATAGTGCTGTTGGCCGTGAGCCCAATGTTAATGAATCAATAATATGTATTAAATGTCTTTAAACAGAAACACACATCAGACAAGGTTATATATTGATCAGCTGATGGAAATGGTGTGACCAGAGTCTCTGAATGGTTTAGTATTCACTATATCAATTGTCACAGTGACTTTATAGCACATAACCACTGTGAACAATGAAAATCAATTCTAACTTCAAAGTTCATGAGAAGATGCTCATAAGTGGAGGACTATAAAATATATGTTCGTAGCGATTATATTTATTATGAAGAGACAAATAGGAAAAATGTAAAATGAAATCAGTTGTTATATTAGAGTGCTAGGATTATGGGCAATTTGCTTTTTAATTTCTTTAGTAATATATACAGAAAGATTATAAAAATATCTTAGAGTAACTGAAATTAGAAGCCTATAACTGTGTAATAGAAAAGTATGTGCATTTTTAAGATGCAGATTTCAAATATACAATTTTGGATATACACATAAAATAAAAATGATAGACTTCACCTCTCCTTATCCCTGTCACAATGATAAACATGTATGCATGTTATCCCATGTTTGTATGCTAACTTAGTTCTCAAAGCATGTAGAAGATTTCACATCTTTAGATTCAAAATAAAAACAAATCTTTATAAAACATAATGAAAATGGTTCTTCTATAATAAGCACCAAAGAAAGAAAGGAAGGAACAAACGAACAAACGAAATGAAACCCAGGTCATGATATCTCATTTAGCTGAGGCATTCGTGTGCATGAGCCAATAAGCATAAAACACCAGACACAGCAGCCTATTTTCATCATCAGACAAAAAAAATAATAAAATCAAGTCATCTGATAAATTTTTTTCATTCAGCTTTTGATATTAATAGTAGAAAAATTAGATTCTTACAAAAAATTTTCACTTTTTCCTATGTCACATTTGGCCTTTTTTTTGTTAGAACAGCTTTCATAAAATCATTTGACCTCTTTTGTATGGGCAATTTAAAATTAATTGTGACTTGACTTACTTTCCTATATGTTGGCAGAGGGTGAGGGCAAGGAAGAGAGGATGATAAAGTTTGGAACCTTAAAAGACTGTATTAAGAATAAGAATATGATTTCGGGAGCCAAACATGTGTCTACCCAAGAGCTGAGCAGGCAACTACCGGAATGTCGGTGTTTATAGGACGTCAAGCCAACATCATCCCCAATCAGGGCTCTCTTCTTGATCACATCCCGCTGAATGCGACGGGAATGATACCTTCGCTTCCTGCAACGTTCCAAAATAAGCACATGATCAAAAACCAACAAGAAGGACTCTGAAATCCACTAATTGAATTCAACTATACACTGATGAAATGTTAGGTACTGAAACAGAGACATTTTACATGAAACTGTAACTCAGCCTTTCATACCATTTACCACAGTTAAGAATCCTGACTCCTTCTTGTCTTCCTTCAAGTCCACACATGGCACTGACACTGCACTGCAGAAGACCAACTGAAGGATTAAGAAAACCTTAAGTACTATTTAAACTACTGTATTTTAAAGTTTTGGACTCACCAAGAATTACTAAGAATTCCTTTCATGCCTCCGTAATTTGGATTCCCGTATTTCATGTAATACTGACTTCTTCTGGCTGCTCCAAGTTCCTTTTTGTCATCTAAAAATTAATTACAACAGTTACCCAGGATTTCCCATTGGTGTGAAGACAATGTTGAATGGTTTAAAAAAATGTTTGCCGGGGAGCCTGGGTAGCTCAGTCGGTTGAGCGTCTGACTTCGGCTCAGGTCATGATCTCACGGTTTGTGAGTTTGGGCTCCACGTCGGGCTCTATGCTAACAGCTCAGAGCCTGGAGCCTGCTTTGGATTCTGTGTCTCCCTCTTCCACCCCTTCCCCTGCTCGCTCGCACTTGCTCTCTCTCTCTCTCAAAAATAAATAAACGTAAAAAAAATGTTTTCTGTAGCTGGGATCACACCAGCACAATTTGCCAATAAAAGGGAAAGATGCATTACAAAATTCACTCTCAGTGCCTATAAAAGCACTGCAGTGTTGAGGGGGTGGGGCAAAAAACAGAGATGAATGAGGTTAAGCTGTTGTTAAGGAGCTGACTGACCTCACAGAGAAAATACTATTAAAAACAACAACACAGCATACAAGGTTCCAAGAAGCATAGGAGAACTTCAGTCATTAGAGCTGTTCAAAAACTAAAAGGCTTTCTAGATGAGGTAGCTTTTTTACTGGTCCCCTGAAAGGCATTTGTTTCTGAATGACAACACCAATAACACAGAATCTAAGTATTAAAGAAACAGATTATACATAATTCCATATATTTGGTAAACCAGTTTTTCCAATTTATTGTTAAGTTCCTCAAAATGGCTTAAAGAAAATAGCCGAGCACCATTTATCTAGAATGCACTCCAATAAGCCACTCAAATGAACACAGAAAAGATCACTTCTGTCAAGTTAAAATGCCAGTTAACACAAAGAAAAAGTGGGCAGTGATCTTTCATAACATAAACATCTCTGACGGCTTTCATAACATAAACATCTCTGATGTTTTCATCATAAACATAACATAACATAACATAACATAACATAACATAACATAACATAACTTTCATAACATAAACATCTCTGATGGCTCCTAGGGCACTCACTGACTGCAAAGGATGAAAACCAATGCGATGTATCCATCCAGTACTACAAGTAAACAGTGGCACAAGCTAGTATGTACACCCTTCAGAAAGACATGCCCACCAGCTCCTTGGAGAAATGGCTGATTCCAGATCTGGGACAGGAAAAGTACAAGTTGAGTCTGGGAAAACAAGATGTTTCACTGGGCCACAAAGTAAGAAAGTGCTCAAAGAATCATGGAGGCATGGCAAAATAACATAACTTGAAGGGACTCCTCTGGCCCAATCTAAGAACATTTGTAAATCAAACAAATGATACGAATGAATGATAAACCACTGAATAAGACTCGTGAGTCTAAACTGATATAAGTAAATAAACAAATGGGTACAAAAAGAAAGTTCTTCCTTGTAGCAGAATGCCAACTCATAAAGAAATATAGAATTAAAAAGTCCTCAATGGATGATAATTGGAAGTATGATGAGCAGAAAGCAGTTCACATAATCTCAAAGTACCTCCCTACAAATTTTAGATTTACAAATGGAAAAACAGGAGAAACCTGACAATCATTACTTTAACCAAGTGAGAAAAGTTACCACCTCCAGAAACGGGACAAATAAATATCATGTGCCTCCTGACACGATGCACTGAAAATGATAACAGCAGCACTTCTGTGGTACTCTTGCGAACACGCACAACCCGATTTAATCATGAGGAGGTAACAGACAAACCAAAACTGAGGCAGAGTCGATAAAATAATGAGCCAATACTTTTTTTTTTAATTTTTTTGTTTTTACATTTATTTTTTTTTTCAGAGACAGACAGAGACAGCGTGAGCAGGGGAGGGGCAGAGAGAGAGGGAGACACAGAATCAGAAGCAAGCTCCAGACTCTGAGCTGTCGGCACAGAGCCCGATGCGGGGCTTGAACCCAGAAACCGTGAGATCATGACCTGAGCCGAGGTCGGATGCTTAACCAACTGAGCCACCCAGGTGCCCCATTTTTTTTTTTAAACTAGGCTCCATGTCCAGTGCAGAGCCCAACATGGAGCTTGAACTCACGACCCTGAGATCAAGACCTGAGGTGAGATCAAGAGTCGGATTCTTAACTGACTGAGCCACCCAGGCACTCCAAGCCTATACTCTTAAAATATGTCTCAGTCAAGAAAAACAAACCAGAGTACTCCATATTCAAAATTCTTACATATTTTAATGTACACCAAAATCATTGTGCATAAAGAGCCTTGCAAACTTAAGAGGCTTGGTGCGACTGAGTGGCTTAGTTGGTTAAGCACCTAACATCAGCTGAGGTCATGATCTTGCAGTTGGTGAGTTCGAGTCCCACATCAGGTTCTTGGCTGTCCACGCAAAGCCCGCTTTGGATCCTCCATCTTCCTCTCTCTACCCCTCGCCCCCACATGCTCACATGCACACTCTCTTTCTCTCTCTCAAAAATAAATAAAAACATTAAAAAATTTAAGAGGCTTTTAATTGGACTCCTTAGAGAATTAGAGCTGAATGGCACTATTAGCAATGTCCAGGAGGACACTGCTGTGATAAATTTAAAAGTATAATTTAAAAATGTTTTCAGGGGGGCGCCTGGGTGGCTCAGTTGGTTAAACCTCCAACTCCATCTCAGGTCATGATCTCGCAGTTCATGAGTTCCAGCCCCACATCGGGCTATGTGCTGACATCTCGGAGCCTGGAGCCGGCTTCAGATTCTGTGTCTCCCTCTCTCTCTGCCCCTCACTCACTCACGCTCTGTCTCTGTCTCTGAGAAATGAATAGATAGATAGATAGATAGATAGATAGATAGATAGATAGATAATGTTTTCAGGGACGCCTGGGGGGCTCAGTCGGTTAAGCATCCGACTCTTCATTTTGGCTCAGGTCATGCATGATCTCATGGTTCATGAGTTCAAGCCCTACATTGGGCTCTGCACTGACAGCATGGAGCCTGCTTGGGATTCTCTTTCCCTCTCTTTCTGCCTCTCCCCTGCTCACTCTTTCTCTCTCAAAAATAAATAAAAACTTAAAAAAAAATGTTTTCATAGTTCAGATGATAATTTGGCTGAAAAACACAGAGGGCAAAGTAGCTTTAACAGAAAATAACTTCCTTTAGGCAAAAATCACAAAAGTATACAAATAGCTAACATTCACTTTCAAAGTCTGAAATTTAACTTAGGCAGCAAGCCATCGTTTTACAAGCATAGAATATTATACAGTTTGAATGGACTTTGAGATTACTTGACCGAACTTCCTATTCAAAAGAGAAGGATGTCACTGAAAAATAAATGACTTTGATTAAAACTAAAAATCAATGCCAAGAATCACATTTACCTTTTGTAGCAAATCTCATGAATAACCTATTTCCTTTAGCAAGTTTGTTAGCTGGACGAAGATCGTTTCTTAGCAGAGACTCTTCTTCTACTTGAGACAATGTGTCCAACTTAAGAAAAAAGAGCATTTTCAATATAAACATTAAAGCTTCTTTAATATTTATTCAACAGCAAAGTCACCATTGATTGAGAAAGCATTCTTTAACAATTCTCAAAGCATGACAGCACTGTTCCTCTGAAGCACTGCTAAGTCAGATGTTCTCCCTGAACATTCTAAGAGTCTCTATCATTCTCTATCTGCTTACCCTTCTTTACTTTCCTCCATAGCACTCCTCACTTCCTGACATTATATTACATATCAGTGTATCTGTGCATTCTCTGTCTTCTCCACTAGAATGTATGTTCCAACAGGGGAAGGACTTTGGCTTGATCTATATCCATAGCACCTAGAATTTGGTATATAGCAGGTACTCAGTAAATGTTCTTTAAATGAATACACTTTGATATTTCCAAGAAAATACATGCTCCGTCAGGAAGTATTCCATCAGTTGCTTCTTCTTAATTTTACGGATTAGACAGGTAACACTTCAAAGTATTTCTCAATAAAACCATTTTCTTTTATACAGAAGTATGAGTACAATTCTATGATCTCAAGAAGAATCACTCATTACAGCCACATGAACTGAAAGGCCAGGCACCTGGTGCACCCTCCGAAGGTCTAAAAGTGAAAGCCAGAGGAAGAATGCAACGCACTAAGTCTTTAAGACTTATATAAAAAGACAGCTTTTGCTGTCATATAAAAAGACAGCCTTTTGCACTCAAACCTTTAATATATCTTTGCCCTATTACTAACCTCTATATCACTGGAGTTCTCATCTTCAACTTCTCCTTCTTCGGCCTCATCATCATCCGAACTGTCTTCCTGCTTGTCTAAAACATAATGCAAGCAACAAGATGAACCTTAACATAACTCCATCTCATGTAATTTAAAAGTTCAAGATTTTCTCCCTCTTTGGATTATCATAGCTTATTTTAGAAACAACTGACAATGAAATGCTATATAATGCTCTGCACAGAAACCCAAACTAACTGTGTAAATAACAGGACTTTTAGCCCAAAAGTCCCTCCTTTGTGTTGTTACCTTTTTTACTTTTCTCAGATGACCTGTCCTCATTGGCATCCCTGCTTCTTATCTTATCCAGGGCTGGCAAAGAGCTCATATTGATAAGGGCTCGTGTGGCTGTCATTTCATCCAGCCAGACAACATTACCTGAAACAAAATGTAAAATAAAACCTGACATCGCATCTAAATGGTAAGTTTTTTAAAAACAAAGACTGCAACATGTTCCTTGCTATGGCCTCATCTAGCTACAGATCAGCATCAGTAAATGTACAAACCAACTAATGAAAGAAGTACAGAAAGTGGTAGTAAAACCTCCTTGATAAAATCAGCCTAGAGCTGCATTCCCAAATGGGGTTCCACAAAATAACTGTCAAGTATTCGATGAAAATGGGTTCTGTGTATTAAACCTGCCTGGCTCAGCAAGTGTTACGTAGTGTTAGCAGTTCTGATGATGATGATGGTGATGATGATGACGACGACAAGATGATAACATCAAAACAAATTTGGATTATCCTTCATACTACTGTCCCCTACAGGGAAGCCATCTGCTGTTCCTTATCACTCAAATGTGCTGAATGACTGTTTCCCACTGTAAAGTATGAGTGATGATGGCATCCACAGAATATACAATGGAGGCATGACAGCCACTTGGCTTTGTAGCAACTACTTTTAATCTGCTTCTTTAAGCAAGAGAATTTAGCAAGAAAAAGGTGTTGAAAAGTCTTGTAGAAAACAAATCTGTTTAATTTTGTTTAAAACAGCATTTCTCAAACTAAAGTTAACCTTACATCTCACTTACATCTCAGTTTGGGAAATGAAAGGCTACAGATTCTTTCTCACTTTTGTTATAAATATGCCATGTGGCCTTGGGTAAACAATTTCCCTTCTCTGTTTTTCAGTTCTGATGTACAACATGAGTTAGCAAAACTGTGTAAATCTAATAAGGGTCCCTCCAACTCTAATATCCCTTAGCTATAGTTTGAGTGACTTAGATCAGGAGTTAGCAAACTACAACCTATAGGCCAAATCCAGTCCACCACCCGTTCATTTATTTATTTGTATTAGTACCAGCTTTATATAGGTATAATTAATGTAAAATAAAGTATACATCCCCCATGTTTTTGTAAAAAAAATTTCTATGGAAAACAGCCAGGCTCGTTCAATAACATATTGTCTATGGCTGCTTTCATGCTACAATAGCAGAGCTGAACCAACACAACAAAACAAAGACTGTATGGCCTACAAAACCTAAAATATTTACTGTCTAGCCCTTTATAAAAAAAGGTGTGTCAACCTTTTATTTAGATGGTGTAAGTTAAGCAAATGGAAAAATGGAGAAAACTCTTCAATCATGTTTCTTCTTTCAATGAAAACACTGAATCAACATCTTTAAAAGCTTTTTTTTCTTTTTAATGTTTTATTTATTTTGGAGAGAGAGAGAGAGGCACAGAGGATCTGAAGCAGGCTCTGTGCTGATAGCAGCGAGCCCAATGTGGAGTTTGATCCCAAAACTGGGAGATCATGACCTAAGCCAAAGTCAGACACTCAACCAACTGAGCCACCGAGGTGCCCCTGAATCAACATCTTCTAAAGAAAGCAGCTGGGAAACCCAGGCAGCTATTCAGGGTACAACCTAGCAGATCAGCAAGCTGATAGTTAAGTAAAGCCAGACTAGAAGTGAGTTAAGACAAGAAGCTGGCAGAGTGGTTACCACAGGTCCTGCCAGGCTTGGAGTGGGGAGGCAAGTAAAAATTACAGCTAGTTCACAAGTTAGAGCAAGCAGGTGAAGTTCCAAAGCAAGTAGAGATGAAAGGTCTGATACAGTGTCAGAAGGTTCTGGTTCAGTTCTAGCTCAGATACTAAGGCAGAACCAGACCTGTGAGTAGCTACATGGGAAGGTGCACTGACAAAAGCTAAAGCCCTGAACATACAGCCCCAAGTCTATACAGTTGGATCCACCCTTTTATTGGGAAATTGTGGGAGTTAAGGAGGCCTCGGTCATGTACATAAGACTTAGATGCCAGCAACCAACCTCCTAGATCCCTGGTCATCACCACTGAGCTGATGTGGAATGTTCATGGAGTATGATCTGGCAGATTGGCTAAGACACTCTGGTTCTCATCAATGGGCAATCTTTCTCTCCTAGGCTAAAGGCAGACGTCAGGGCTAGACAAGTAGTCTGAACCATAATCATTCACCATCTGACATGGCAAGAACTCCTAAAATTATAAACAAAAGCATATTCAAAAAAAACTTGCATGTACTTACAGGAGGTATCATCCAACCATTCAATGTGAGCTGGAGGATATTCTTTAAAATAGGAAAAGATATCCTGGGTACTCATCTCATCTACTCCGCAAATGTAGATTGTCTCCAATCTCACTTTGGGGATTGCTAGAAAAACAAGACACAAAAGAGATGATAGAATTTTCCCACCCACTATTGTACATCCCACAAGTAGTCATTTATGACAGTTCAGATAACATATATTTAGAAAAGAAATATGTTAAAAGAGATGACCATTATTTCAAAAGAAAGGAAATATGACAGAAAGGTAAACTATTTTAATTTTTATCACAAAGCAACAGCATTAAACAAATGATCTAATTCAGAACAGGCATATTAGGCTGGAAAAGATGAAACAAATGGTGTTGGTAAAATACATGATACCTCTCCCCAGATTAACCTGTAATAATTAAAGCAATACCAAATTCAGCAGGATTACTCCTTGAACTTGACAAGCTGATTCTGTAATTTTTAAATGCTTGTCAAAGAGAGATGTGCAATAATAAAGACAATTCCAAAGAGTTGTTGCCTCTGAATATAAAGCAAAGTATCAAACTAGAGTAAAGAAATCTTACAAATCAATAATAAAATGACAGCCCAAGATAAACATGGACATGAACAGACATTTCACACAAAAGGAAATATAAGTGGTCAATAAACATATAAAAAGGTTGATCTCACTAATAATCAGGAAAATGCACATTAAAACAATACACCAGCTTTCATTGCCCATCTATTGTTTGGTGTAGTCACCTTCATTAATTATCTTAGCTAGATCTTCTGGATTATCTGCTGCAGCTTCTACGTGCTTGCTGCTTCACTTTGTGCTTTTACATTACAGAATTGGATGGCTTCCTTCCTTAAACCTCATGACCCAACCGCTGCTGCCTTCGAACTTTTCTTCTGCAGTTTCCTCACCTCTCTCAGCTTCACAGAATAGAAGAGAGTCAGGGCCTTCCTTGCTCTGGATTAGGCCTTGGCTTAAGGGAATAGGCTGGTTTGATCTTCTATGCAGACCACAAAACTCTCTCCATATCAGCAATAAGGCTGTTTCACTTATCATTTGTGTGTTCCCTGGAGTAGTACTTTTAATTTCTTTGAGAACTTTTCCTTTGCATTCACAACTTGGCTGTTTGGCACAAGAGCTCTAGTTTTGGCCTGTCTTGGCTTTGGACATGCCTTCCTCACTAAGCTTAATCACATCTAGCTTTTGATTGAAAGTGAGGGAAGTGGATCCTCCTTTCACTTAAACACTTAGAGGCCATTGTAAGGGTCATTAATTGGCCTAATTTCAATACTGTTGTGTCTCAGGGAATGGGGACTCAAGGACAGGGAGAGAAACAAGAGACCAGCCAGTTGGTGGAGCAGTCAGAATACACACAACATTTATCAAAGTTCTCCATCTTATAAGGGAGTGGTTCGTGGCATCCCCAAACAATTACAACAGTAACATCGAGATCACTGATCAGGGATCACCAAAACAAATACAATAATAATGAAAAAGTTTGAAATATTGCAAGAATTATCAAAATGTGACACAGAGATACAAAGTGAGAAAACGCTATTGGAAAAATGGCACCAACAGACCTGCTCGAACCAGGGTTGCTACAAACCTTTAATTTGTTAAAAGTGCAGATGCACTTTGCATCTGCAAGGTGCAATAAAGTGAAGTGCGATGAAATGAGGTGTGCCTTAAATGTGACGACATGAAAAAATTAAAATATAAACACCATCATACACTTTCTAAGGGTATGTATTTGTGAACACAAAGACCTAGAAAAAGGCTGGTATAATTCACACTGATAACAGCTGTTACTGCTGGGGAAGAAGAAAGGCTGACGGCTATAGTCAAGAAGGAACCTAAAGACCTGTATTCTGAAAACTGTAAAACACTAAGGAAAGAAATTCAAGATGGCACAAAGAAATGGAAAGACATTCCATGCTTATGAGATGGAAGAACAAATACTGTTAAAATGTCTATTAGCCAAAGCAATCTACAAATTTAAAGCAATTCCTATCAAAATAACAACATAATTTTTCACAGAACTAGAACAAACAATCCTAAAATTTGTATGGA